CCCCAACACATATAAATAAATCTTGTAAATAAACTAAAGAATAAAATATTAAACGTTGGTAAAAAGGGTTCACATAAAACCTTCATAAATAACTAAAATAATTAAAAATAAAATTTAGAAAGTAAAACTTGAGAGTTACAAATTATTAGCATATAATAAATACAACTCTAAATCCATATAAAAATTTATCCCAAAATTCTCTTCCCCGATGTCACAATATCAGAGCACACCCACAACTCAACAGTTAACATTCTAGATGCCACCCAAAGCTGGATCTTCCTCACCTAAAACATCCACAAATTATACGGTGAGAAAAGAAAACATTTATATGAAAAGCACACAAGGAAAAACACAACATAATCATAACTTATACAAGTATTTCTATATATCATAATTTGTCAATCATTCATCTTCACATCTCAATTCACAATTACACCAATCCATCACAATTCACAAAAATCTTACAATTAACACTGTCAAGACCACGCCACAACTGAAACAAGTGATACGGGTTAATTGCCTCACTTATCCCACACCATGTCAGGGGCACGCTCGTCCTTGTAGCATCACTTACCCAAGGTTCGTCTCATCCCTAGTCATTAGTGTGAGGAACCACAATCACAATCATATTCCACACAATCTCTTGCAATTAACCCTATGCCAGGGCTGCCATATTTGACATAAGTGATGCGTGTTAATTGCCTCACTCATCCCACACCATGCTAGGGGCACGCTCGTCCTTGAAGCATCACTACTCAAGGTTCATCTCATCCCTGGTCATTAGTGTGAGGAACCACAATCACAATCATATTTACATCCATATAACATCTCATCTCATAGCTCAATTCCATATCACATACACAATTCCATATCACATACACAACAGATAAGTCCAACAAAATAAGGGTCGTTATTAGCGACTGATTTAGCGACCGATTATGAAAAATCAAAATAGAGACCGATTTAGCGACCAAAATAAGTCATCACTAGAAAATCGGTCGCTAAATAAGAAATTTTGATTTTTTAGCGACGAAATAAATTCGGTCGCTAAATTATAAATTTTGATTTTGTTTAGCGACGGAATTAATTCGGTCTCTATTTCGATCGCTAAATTATAAATTTTGATTTTTTTTAGCGACAGAATTCAATTCGATCGCTAAATAATAGTTAAAATTAGTGACAAAATTGAATTCGGTCGCTAAAAAGTAGTTAAATTTAGCGAGGAAATTGAATTCGGTCGCTATTTCGGTCGCTAAATTATAAATTCTGATTTTTTAGCGACAGAATTTAATTCGGTCGCTAAATAATAGTTAAAATTAGCGACGAAATTGAATTCGGTCGCTAAATAGTAGTTAAATTTAGCGACAGAATTGAATTCGATCGCTATTTCGGTCGCTAAATTATAAATTTTGATTTTGTTTAGCGACAGAATTAATTCGGTCTCTATTTCAGTCGCTAAATTATAAATTTTGATTTTTTTAGCGATGGAATTCATTCGGTCGCTAAATAATAGTTAAAATTAGCGTCAGAATTGAATTCAATCGCTAAATAGTAGTTAAATTTAGCGATAGAATTGAATTCGGTCGGTATTTCAGTCGCTAAATTATAAATTTTGATTTTTTTAGTGACAGAATTTAATTTGGTCGCTAAATAATTGTTAAAATTAGCGACGGAATCGAATTTGGTCGCTATATAGTAGTTAAATTTAGCGCTGAAATTCAATTCGGTTGCTAAATTTTAAATTTTGATTTTTTTAGTGACGGAATTTAATTCGGTCGCTAAATAATAGTTAAAATTAGCGACGGAATCGAATTCGGTAGCTAAATAGTAGTTAAATTTAGCGATGAAATGCAGTTCTGTCGCTAAATAATAGTTAAATTTAGCGACAGAATTGAATTCGGTCGCTAAATAGTAGTTAAATTTAGCGACAGAATTGAATTCGGTGGCTATTTCGGTCGCTAAATTATAAATTGATTTTTTTAGCGATGGAATTTAATTCGGTCGCTAAATAATAGTTAAAATTAGCGACAGAATTGAATTCGGTGCTAAATAGTAGTTAAATTTAGCGACAGAATTGAATTCGGTCGCTAAATAGTAGTTAAATTTAGCGACAGAATTTAATTCGGTCGCTATTTCGGTCACTAAATTAGAAGTTTTGATTTTTTTAGCGACCGAATTAAATTTGGTCGCTAAATATTAGTTAAATTAGAGACGAAATTGAATTCGGATGCGAAATAGTAGTTAAATTTAGGTACGAAATTTAATTCGGTCGCTAAATCAGAAATTTTTATTATTTTAGTGACGAAATTAAATTCGATCGCTAAATATTAGTTAACCCGTACTGATTTCGGAACGGTCCGTTTCGGATCCTTCAAACGTGGGCAAATTTTCCAACTGGAACGGCCCGTTCCAAAATCGGAACGGCCCGTTCCCAAAAAGTAGAACGGCCCGTTCTAAAACCAGAACGGCCCGTTC